AGGTAGTTCCGGAAAAGAGAAAGAGAGAGAGTATTAAAAAGGCCGTCACGCGATAGAAGCGGGACGGCGAAAAGTGTATATTTTACGATATGACCGTCATACTAAAAATCACTACTGTAACGTTATCGTATCGCTAGTCAGTCGACGCGTTTCGAAAAAAAAAGGAAGAGAGAGAGAGAGAGAGAGAGAGAGAGAGAGAGAGAGAGAGAGAGAGAAAGAAGAAAAAGGGAAGGCGCGAGGCGTAGAAAGCGAGAAGCGTTCGAGTAAAATTAATCGAGATATTATTGTACAAAATTGAGCGCCGGTAGTTCGTAAGGCCTATTATATCGGTTTTTCCATTTCGTATCGATTGCGTGTGACACACGCGCTTGTAAAATGATACGTACGAGCGAGACGTGTGAGGAGACCGTTTTTTGTAAGGAATATAAGCTCAATATTAAGTGCGAAGAGGCGTCCGCGTTTGCGCTCCCCTTGTAAAGAGATATAGAGAAATATTGAAACTTCCCAATAAAAATATACGAATAAAAATGAAAAAAAAAAGAACTCGAACCAATCGAAGATGCGGACGCACAGGACCATTCATACGTTCCGTCTTTCAGTATCTAACATTCCCTGCGAAAACATTGTCCTATTGCGTAATGTATCTATTCTATTTATAATGTCACGTATGCTCCGTGCCTCACGTGATAACGTCTCGCTCGTACACTTCATTGTGTGACTCGACCCCCGAAATCGGCGCCGCGCGCGTCAAAAGGCGTGCGCGCGCGCTACCTCTCTCGTCTCATATCTCGTCATAACACACGACTCATCCGAGTTCCTTCTGCCGTTCGAGAGATAAGCTCGAGTTCTGCCATTCGACCGCGAGCTCGCGACGCTCCCCGTTATCGGGCGACGACAGGGTGTCGATTGACGAATTCCGCGTACTTAGCGACGCGCAATGCAATCTCCCGCCGGAGGTGCCGGTGTGCAAGCACTGGCGCTTATCGGCGTCTCTCGATAAACTTAGCATCAATGGGCGTTCTGTGCCATTGTGATCGCGATTCCCGGATGTTAGGTATGCATATGACAAACGGGGTAACTTACGCCGTGAAAAGGGCCCGAGCGTATGCAACGGTCCTCCGTAACGCGCGTTTCCGGCGCGACCTTTATTTATCTCTTGTTAGATAAATCGGGATTCTCTCCTCGTGATCTTTTATTTTTTTACTGCGACTGTGTGGATGTGAACGGCGATCTCTTCTTGCTGAATCTTATCTGAACGGTGGACTAGCTTCGAGTTTGCCATCGGTTCTGTTCTCGCGCACGTATATTCTATTTTTTTTTTTTAAAGAGAGTGTAAAAATATATATTTCGGGGATACGGACGCGTTATAGGCTTTTTTTGCTTTTGTTAAATAATAAATTGTTTGAATGTGTGTACACATTCGATCTAGGAGGAAAGTAATTTCGCCCACGATGATTTCGCAAATTTCCCTACGTTAATACTAACCCACGTATCGAATTTAAACGACCTAATCTTATATTGTGATATATTAGATATGTATGTAGTACTTTATTCGCGCACTTAAGTCAAGCTTGAGTGGAACTGTGAGTTTTCATCGAATGAACGGTATAATATGCACATTCCAGGAGAGAGATCGTAATATCATTAGGGCGATACTTCGCACTTCTCCAGGATGGCGGAACTTAAAGCTTCTTCTCGATCGATCGATATCTTTAGGCGATTGTGTAATCCTTCGAACTCGTCTCCGCGCACTTTAGATTCGGAGAACGATCATAGAGGATCGAGATCCTGTTCCGAGTCGAGATTTGATCGGCGGACGAGCCGGCACACATATACACATACACACGCACGCTCTAACATATACACACGATGCACACACTACACTGTACATTCGTGTAAAGCATAGCGAAGCCTTATTGAGAAAGCAATATTCATCCTTAAACCGCTTAAAGTATTTTCAAGCTGCTAATCTATCGAGCGATTTCTTCCTACGCTAGATAAAAGGGAAGAAGAGGAGAGACGTCTCTCTCTTTCGAGGCGAACGGGAAGGACTCGACGATCGCGGATCGGTTCCGCGATCGGCGACGGTCCGAACTCGCGCGAGAGGAAGCTGGAAGCTGCGACCCGCACGGGGTAACGCGTGCTGCAATCGCGGATTATCGCCAAGATGTTCCTTCGAATCTCCGCGGTTATACGGTTATATCGCAAACGATATCGCGGTGCGCCGAGAGCTCGAAAAGCTCTCCTTGATTTTTCCGCGCATTTCTCGAAATTATTTATATCGCCCCGCGAGGAAGAATCATGTTATCGTCCCGAGAATGAATTATAGCGAAAATAAAATAAAATAAAATAAAGGGGAGAGAGAGCGCGCGTGCAACTTTCCAGACCGTATACGGCGTTTGAATTGAATTGGAGGGACAAGTTTAATTACCGGAGCGAATTCACTCTCCCGCGCGTTCGTGTAAATACGCGCGAAATTTCGTTCGCGCGTAAAAAAAAGTGCTTCGGGACTGAAAAAGTTCGGGAAGCGGTCCCGCACGCGCGTTTACCTAAAGGCACGCTGAAAAAAAAAAAAAAATATATATATATATATATATATATATATATATCTCCGCGGAAAATAAGGAAGCGGCAAAAAAAGCGAGCTAAGTGAAAACTAAATTAGACTCTTAAATCGCCACCGGGGTGGATAGGTACCTGTAGAAAATATCCGCGGGAAATGCCCGAGAGAAAATCCGGGGGGAGGGCCGTCCTCCTCACTTTCTTTCTTTTCAACGCCGATCGAAGCCGCGATCGGATTCGCGAGAGAGATTTTTCCCGCGATAAGCCCGAACGCGCGCGCGTTTTTTCTTCCTCCTTTTCTATCTGTCCCTCTTTCCCGCGGAAAAAGCGTGCAAAAGCGCGATCCGCCGTAACGTTTATTAATCGATAACCGCTCTCCCACGTCCACGAGAGTCGGCATTTCTAGCCGCAAACGGGCGCGGCGCGGGATGTCCTTTTTTTTTTATACATTATTAAACGACCGCGTTCCGGAGCGCGGGCCAACGGCGTAATCTCCAGGTCGGTGGAGAGAGCGGTTATCACACTTCTCGTGGCGCGCGCCACGTATATCGATCACACCTGCAGTCGTCTCGCGCAGACTAACCGCCGACGGTCGTCGACGTCATTACACCCGTGGGTTACAAGCGGCACAGCTTCCCCGCGATTTCCTCCCCCCCCCTTCCCGCTGTAAATACATCCCCGAGTCGCTCCCCGAGGATGGTAGACGGTCCGCATTCTCGTTGCGCGTTGCTGAGCGCGAAAGTCCCGCGCGAGAATTTTTTTTTTTTTTATCAAGTAAACGGGATTCCGAATTTAATTCGACGCGATCGAGAAGATTTGTGTTCGGCTCGCAATCAATTTCCGTTTCGATTTTCGAATCTCGTGGCGAACGAGCCACAAATTTCATCTCTCGGACCGCACGCGTCGCAGCGCTGATCGCTGAAACGGTGAATTGTATCTCTTTTCGGTTTTTCATCTTAACGATGCGATCAATTCCGGCGAAATTCGCCAGACAGAAAATGTGTAGCTCGAAGCAAATTTAATTTACTTTAAATTTAAAATTGTCAACGCGCGACGCGCGCCGTGCCATGAGAATGCGGAACGACACGCACACGCACACACACAACACGCGTTTACCGAAATTCGCATTCGTCGCCTATACTCGATTTCTCTTCACTTAATGAGGATCCTTTATTAAGATGTGTACTATATAAAGGCGAGTACGGCGCGGACGGTGTCGCGTGCCCGCCTGATCTCGCGGCCTTCTTTTCGTCCGCTTTCCGGTGGAGGAGTGTCGCGATCCCGTCGCGATCTGGCCTGTGTATGTAAATATTATTCGTCGCATTTTGCGGGCGAGCACGTGCGGAAAAGAAGGCGCGCGGGAAAGGCGCGTGGCGCACGTGTTTTTCGGTTCATGGAAAGAGCAGACGAGCGGACTTCGACGCTCGTCGAATCGAGCGAAAAAGAGGGCTGTCCTCTTTCGAGATAAAGAGGGAGTCTCCCCGGGCCATAACATAGGTCATTAATAACATAATAATAGTAATAATAATAATATTAATAGGGATATTCCAGCGTTATTTTGTACATAAACAACTTTATCAACGGATATTAAGAAGTCATCAATAAATCTATATATAAAAAAAACAGGACGTTGAAAATTTTGTTATATCTCTTCCATCCTTCTCTTTTTAAATCCCAGAGTTTTTAAAGCCACACACGTAATTTATCTTAATCGTAATAAATTCTGAATATTTTAAATTTAAATTATCTTAATCGCAGATCTGCAAATATTCCAAATGACTTGTTTTCCGTCGCTCGCAATCCTGCGGTTTCGGGCCAACAGAGCACGCATCACGCAAACGCAGTTCACTGATAAGCACGACCGTATTTGTTGCTGGGATTGCCAGAGTCAATGTTCGCGTCTGTGTTTGGCGGTGCATTTAACGCTAGATATGGCCACCTATATAATTCCGAGTTTCATATATCTAGTATGGAAATCGTATTCAAACGTAAACACGTAGGGACTGCAGACAGTTACAGCTGACGTAAATGCGGTTGCAATTCGCGCAACACGAAGATCACGGTGGATGGTAAATATACAATTGCGATTCGGGCAGTCAGATTTAACGCTGAATGCGCGTTTAACGTATAAGCCCGGCGGCTTCACTTTCCTCAAAGGAATCACAACTTCTGTTCTTACCCAACGTATCGTACGTGTTCCGAACTCCGAGGATGAAGACGCGTCGTAAAATCCATTCGTGCGACGTGATTTGTTGCGAGTGAATATGTTAGATTTTCCGCGCGAATAAATCCCCGGGTGCGATGTCTCATAAATGGGAAGTGGGACGCTGCCCCATATTCCGCATAATTTCATCGCGATGGAATCGTCAGGTTCCGGGGTGGCGAGGTTGCGTACGCACGCAGTGATAATTCGCGCGGAAAAAGCATCGTCCGACATGTAGCTTCAAACATTTATTTTTATTAAAAGGATTCAATAACAACATAAATCCACGTGTACAACTGTAAATACAACCCTAATTATATACAAAAGGCTATAGCTTCTTATCATCATTTCGTAATGGCGCTTTGGCTGAACGCTTCGATTAAACACATACGCGCGCGTGTAAATGAAATTTTTAATACAAAGTACCATGTGATACACATATATCCGTAAATACGATATATCCATATCCATGTGTGATGTGCGTAACATATACAGTATAAAAAAAATAATCGCATATAACTTTGGAATGTAAAAAAAAAATATCGCACATAACGTCAAGTGTATTGGAAGTTAAATTGGTTTCACTGTTGAACAGATACTTCTTAACGGGCAAAAGATTTCGCACAACATGCTTAAACGATATAAATAATGATATAAATATAAATAATTAAAAATTAAAAATCGTATTCACGTAAGCTGGTTTCTCTCCTTGTTCTCTTTCTTTTGTGATTAATAGAAAAATTACGTTACAAATTACATTTATTGGATTTGGTTCAACGATCTAGTTACATTTGAGACTCGTCACCGTCTCAAACCGGGCAATTACGACGCAAGTTACACACCATTTCGCGCAAACGAATTACATCACAATTGTAATTGCATAGTCACAGTTCTAATAGGTCTTTTAAGGGAGGATTAACTAATTTTTTTTCGCCATCGCAATGCCCAGGCCCAGAATACTTGCGACACCGATAATAACACCTCCCGCAACAGCCATACCCATAAGGCCCTCTGTAAAAAAAAATGTAACAAACGAGATTCAATTGCCAATTCCAGTCATGGAAATATTGATGAAGCTTTTTAGGTAATACTTGCAAGTTTAACATATTGATGAGGTTAGTATCGCGAATCAATAAAAGGAGAATATGACGTGTATGAAACAGCATGATGTGGTATTAAATACGAGTTTTTCATCTCGTCGATATAAATTTTTTATTACTTATCAATCTCATCATACAGAATATACAGATGGAATACTAGAGATAGATGCATTGCAGAAAATACAAGCAATGATTATTAACACAACTATCGAAATCTAAACTAAAGCCTTTTTTATATTAAAATATAAAAGTAAATCTACTATCACAAAGAAGAAACTAAGAAATTAAACAATCACAAAATTAAAGAAAATCTTTAGAGAAGATTCTGGAAGAGATTACATTACAAGATTGTGCGAGGCAAAAACATGCAAAAGGTTTAGCTACTTTTTTCCCCCCCCAAAGTTGATGAGAGCTTTGAATTAGTATGAGTCGTAGGGATAATCGTTAAGTGGAATCGATATAAAATTTAGCAATCCAAGAGAGCAGAAAGATCAGCAGAAGCAACCAGAAATAGTACGACTGCGTAAGGAAATCATAGGAATCCCTCAGCGATATTGCCCCGAGATAAATTACAAGCTTTATTCTCTTAAGCCGATAGTAAATTATAAAAAGGAAACCTTTCTCCATCTTCTTCCTTATCAACGACTCCAGATGTTGCACTTGCACGTTCTCGGGTTCAATCTGTAGGAATGCCCTGACGTACGAGAGCGCCTTGGAGTATTCCTGGAAGCAGGCATCAACGAAGTCAGGGATCGAGATCGTAGCTTTGTAATAAAGCTTGTTTTAACGCTCGCTCACACTCGCGATGTACATGTATCTCACCTTTATCCTGGCATTTCCAATCGCCAGGTAGTACAGGCAGTCGCGCTTTTCCGCCTCGTAATTGCTGTAGAGGTCCTCCAGCAGCAATATTCCTTTCCTAATGTCCGCCGAGTATTTGCTCCTCACAAGGCACCAGGCGTATTCGAACTGAGCTTTTTGCGTGACATACGACCCATGCAACTGCTCATGGTACACGGCTTCGAATCTCTGAAACGTAATCACGACGAGGATTGTCACGAGGTGATGCAACATTACGTGTACTACGGATTTACATGTCCCGATGCGTCATCCTGACCTCATCTCAATACGTTGGTCGCGATAGCGTCATATTTAATTAACGACTCGTTCGCAAATAAAAGCGCACGACGTACTTATGTGTTTTTTTACAGAGGAAATGCCATGTATCCGTTTCGCTGACGCAATTATCAAAGATTCGCGAAAATTTCGCGCAAAGCACGTCGCGTTGATGCGTAGGAGGACGCGAATCGACGAACGGAATATATAAACGCGCAAATATATACGTAGACGGATGTAAATAGGTTCGAGCTGTGTGGTAACCTAACCTAACTTTTTCAACGCACGTCGTTGTCGTCGCTCTCGGGGACGGGCGAGCGCGAGAAACGGGACGTCCCGAGCGAGAGCGATATCGGCGACGCGAGAATTATCCCCGGCCGCATGATTTACCTTCAAATCCTCGGCAGAGACGACCTCGTTCAAAACGTCCTCCATTTCTTCTTCCAGGCTGACGTAAGCGGCGCGCACTTTGCCACACACCGAGACCTTTGCGCTCCACTACTGACTACACACAATCACACGAATCCTGAAACGTGGCTGCAGGTGCGGGCCCGCGCGAGACGACTTGACGCATCGCAAGAGGCGAGATACACGAGATTCGCTTTGGTGGGACTCGATACCGCGTTGCAGATGGCGCGGTTTATGAATCTTGTCGAAACGAAGTAAAAGTCTTGCGACAATAGATGTAATACCGGTGTGAAGTTATCGAAATCCATTTTCAAAAATTTCTAAAATTTAAAAATAAATGTATATATATATATATAACATTTCTCGCAAATACGATCCTCCGATTTCGAAAGTCGGCGCTTCGACTAGAAAATAAAATTATGAAATAACGTTTTTCTCTGTTGCTTGTATATTTATTTCCGGAGATGCCCGGAACAGCGTCAATCTAGTTATTTGTTATTTCGATAAATTTTTAAATAGAAATTAAACGTGTTTGTTACGGTTTTAAATAATTCCTTAAAATATATATGAGAATAAAGATATTCTTTTAAAATATAACGTAGAGGCGCCTGAACGTTAGTGTTTTATAAAATACGTTCCCTTAAATAACGAATAAACAAATAATCAAAATAGTCTCGAAACAATATAAAAATAAGATAAAATAAAATCAGATTTTTTTTTAATGTCAAAATACGACGCATGCAAACTCGAGTGCCCTTTTTTTTAAGTTTTTGAATTGAAAAATCTTGCGTTCCACGGTATGAATGAAACGGAGAAAGTTCTATCGAATGAATGTACGGTGGTTAATTTAATTACGACGCCGACGAGTGATTCGCTTTGTGTCTTTGACAGCGCGCGATACGATCATGCATGTTAATGAGCGCGATATCAATATTAACGTACGCTTAAATATATGCCCATTAAGCCGCAACGTTCGGACTATTAAATACACAAACAGGGGAATTCATAAATTTATGAGGGGGCTTTTAGCATTAATAAAATTTATTCACGTAGGTACGACAACGGTACAATGATTCAGGTACTGACAGGCACAGCGTGATATTCTCGCTAAATGTTGGAGAACATTCGGTTCAGTTGCTTGGCCAACGAGTACAGCGGCAGGCCCGTTATGGTGTAATAATCACCATCTATTCTTTCGATCAGGCAAGCCCCTATACCCTGAAGACCGTAGCCTCCTGCTTTATCCCTGAAATAACATCCCGCTTGAGTGCAAAGATTAATTGCAACCATTGCAATGCAAGTCCCAGACAGCATGTCCAAAGCCATAATACATCCTTTGGCTGTCGCATCATTAAGCCTACTCTCAGTAGCCATAAGCTGTAAAAATTAATCCAATTTATTCTCATAAAAATTAATCACACTAACTCCCTTCGATTTATTTTCTTCATATTCGACGCTACATAGAATTGGTCAATTCTTATGACTATTGTAGAATAGGTTTTATATTCGATTCATTATTTCAGATCTTACAATCAGATCTTAGTGCGTGCTGCTGTGTGGGACACCGCAATGCAATATTGCAATGACGACGTGGCGATGCACAAGCCACACTCACATAGGATCACCAGTTCTAATGTACTCTCTTATTTGTCTCTCCGATATGTCTCCGAACTTTACTTTGGCAGACTCGTAAAACTGGATTTCGGTCTTTGATGTTTTCAGGCACACGCCGGTGTAGACAACGTGCTGCTTATTCGCTAAGCTAAGAAAGAGGCGTTGAGGATAACCACGTTCTGAGAATGATCCAGCGGCAGCTCATTTACCTGGACAATATCCGAAAGGCGTCCGCTTCGTTCCGAGGCTTTCCGTAAATGACGTCGCCCATCGTCACCATGGTGTCCGCGCCTATTATCAACGACGGCGGCACCGGGTCCGCCTTCAGACGCTCGTACACCTCGAGCACCTTGTACCTGGCTATGTCCTGCACGTACTCCCCGTGCCCCCGGTACTCGGACCTGTCGAGCTTCTCGTCGTAGAGGGACGGCACCACTTCTGCGTTTATGCGCTGACGAATATATTATTCACGTTAATACGCGACCAGCCAGCCTACTCGAGGGATCGTCCGCGCGAAACCGCGTCCAGGTCCACCCCCCGTTCTACAGAGCGCTTTCGAGAAGATTCTTCGCGCGATTGTTTTTTTTTTTTTTTACCAGGTGTCTGATTATGTCGTGCCGCCTCGGGGAGCCGCTGGCCAAGATCGTCCTACCGCACGCCAGGGCTTGAAGAGTCGACTCCAGCATCCTGCCCGACGTGCAACACGAAAGTTCGACTGTTGTTCAACGACACCTGCTACTTTAGCGCGCGAAACTCGCCCGAAGACCGTCCGGTTAGACCGATCGCACGATCGCGATCACACGTGGTGCGCATTGACGCGCATAACGCGCGAACGTAAACACTGCAACGGTGCGGCCGGCCCGGCGCCCGTCGGTAAGCGCGAACCCTTGCAAGCCGCTTTACATCTCGGTAATGCCGCAGAGGACGCTGCAGGCGAAGGGAAAAGCGCACTTGCTCTTCAACAGCTGTTTCTTTTTTTCTTTTACTTAATCATTATCGCTACATCGCTGCGCACGGAATTTTATCGGCCGGAAATTCGACATTAATTTTAATGCATCTGGATTTGTTAGTTTAAAGTTGGAGGTATGTATAAGTAACACAGTACATATTAAGAATAAAATTCTGTAAGAAAAAAATATTTCAGTATCCCGGAAAAAAGTTTCACATATTATATATATAATCGTATGCAAAATATGTCCGCTATATGTTTCTTCCCTTTGTAAAAATTATTCTTTAATACAAAATTGATAATAATAAGAAAGAAACATAAAAAATAATTAAAAGAATGACTTTTATATTTTTTTTTTACTTACTTTAAAGATCAAGTTTGAAGAAATGAGAAAAATTGTTCATATATAATTATATATGTATATTTTTAATCACTTATATATGAGCAATTTTTCTCATTTCTTCAAACTTGATTTTTTGTAAAAAAAAAACAATGTAAAAATTATTCTTTTAATTATTTTTTATGTTTCCTCCTTATTATTGTCAATTTTGTATTAAAGAATAATTTTACAAAGGAAAGAAATATATATAGACATATTTTGCATATAATTATATATAATTATATATGGAACTTTTTTCCCGGGTAATCATATTTAAATATTGAGAGTATAATTTGTGTATAATTTGAGTATAATAAGTATATAATTTGTGTATAATAAGAGTATCATTTGTGTATTAAAAATACGCGCAGTACCTTCTTAAACATTCATATCATCGTTTCAAAACTGGTATTGTATAGTTAATTAGAGTTTATTTTATATCAATTAATTACGCTATTTAAAATTAGAAATAATTAATTTTATATTATAAAATATTAATTACACAAATCAAATTAATTAAAGTAATAAATAAAATATCTTTTGATTGACGGAATTCTCAGCGCTTCAATAAAAATACTAATGCTAATCTTTTAATAATCGTAAAAGTAAAAATAAAAGAAAGGAAATGGAATCAAAATTTAAAAATTCATAAATAAAATACGTTCTAGCGTCTATAAATAGGGCAATGAAACGCTCGCAGCTATTATTTACTCGATCCATTATTATCATTGGCGTCCATCTTCTATTCTTTATTCCTTTCTCCCAGGGAAGATCGAAACGATCGCTTCGCTCGGTTAGTGCCCGAAAAATCGCGTGAAAGATCGCTAGTCGATTGTTCGCGGATCGTATATATGTATATCCGCGCACACACACGTATCTTCTATTATTATAGATATATCTATGCTATATGCGTATATGGTTAGGATATATAGATTTATAGCATATATGTACACACATTAATTGTACATACATATATGTATGTATACGTTTATATACACGCTTAATTTGGAGGGTTGCGTAAACGCGTGCTGTAAATCTGGTCCACGTTTGAAAATATATCGGCGTTAGAGGGAGAACTGTTCTCCAGGCGCAACTCAAGCAAACTCTAATACATCGTAATCGGTAAATTACGTAAATGCCGCATGCCATGAACGAACCTAAAGGTCAGTCAGTCCGAGGCCTTACATAATCGCAAGGCGAAAGGTTGACCCATCTTTGCGCCGCGCAGCCTTCCAGCTGAACAAAGATTTAGCGGCTGTTCTTTTTTTTTTCTTTTGCATGTCACTCGATCGCGCGTTTGTGTGCGCTCCACCTTTAATCGATTTAATCGGCAAGTGATCTAATTACTCGTGTGAAAAGGAAATGTTGCAAAAAAAGTACTGCAACTCTGTTTCAGTGGATAATCTTACGAGATGAACAAATAAATAAATATAACTATACATGATATTGTAATTTTTAGAACAATTTGCGACAATATTTGTGAAATTATAATAGACATGGTTCTCTGTAGCGAACAATCACTTCTTCTCTCGTTGAGAAAGAGAAAAAGAGCCACATAGACGGACAGACGAAGAGGTTTAATATTCTAGATAAGCCTTGATAAAATAAAAGAACTTAAAAAAATATGATAAGCAAAAAAAACGATAACAAAAATAATACGTAATACAGGATAGAATCAATAAAAATAAAAATACAAACTAATATGACTAAAAGGGTCAAAAAGTGAAGATAGCAGAAGAGTTATAGATACAAAAATCGAAAGCTGAGAGAGAAAGAGAGAGAGAGATTGCGCGTTTATTGGAGTTCTAAGGCAAGTCCTACTAAGAACAAAATAAGATCAGGTATGATACGGAAAAGCAAACAAGATGAATAAACATAAAAAAATAAAAACAAAATTAAACTAACAAGATTAAAGAATAACATCAGTATGAAACAAGGAGCACTGCAGAAAAAAACAGAGTGCAAATCAAAAGAAATAAATAAATAGAAAAAATATAAAAATGAACAAAAAACAAAAAAAAATCAACAAAATAACTTTATAAGCGCAAACAATAAAGCAAAAATAAACTAAATAAGGAAAATAACTAGAGAAAGAGAGAGAAAGTTTTGTTATAATTTTACTGAATTAGCGTTGCATCGGGTCCCGACAGATTTAATTGCATTTGTTTTCCGAAATTTGGTTTACACGCCGCTCTGCTAGAATAAATATCCAACGATTATGTATTCGCAATTATTCGTTCGGTTGAAAATCAACAAACGCACACGTCTGTCTGCGGTAAACAATTCCCGTAAACAAGTAATCGCTTTAATTTAATGCGGATACGAGCAAGTAATAACGGCAGGGTCAAGTTTACTAATGAGTGCACGTGGCGAGCGCGGCCCGCGCCGATGTTATTTATGGGATAATTGCTGCTTAGAGCTGAGCGAGGATGAAATATCGCTTTGTTATCCCTTCGATCGGCGGGTCTTCACAGCTAGGCTTGATCTGTAATAATTGACAGTCGCGTTTATATAACGCGGCATGCATGTACGGGGCATATCTGAAATCGCGAAAATTACGATCGACGCACGATGATGACTATCGGCGTCAATTATTTATAAGCGCGAGCTCGCTGCTAATTATTATTAATTTTTCTAGTCGGCGTATCGCCGTATGCAAATTAAGTGTATTTATGATCGGCAAGATAAGAGGATAAAATTGTTTGAAAATTATAACCGGGCTCGAAGGATGGGGAGGAACAATATAAACGAAATCACGCGATGTTTGCGATCCTCTTGCACATAGATATCGAATAATTCTCATGAAAATGTTGTTTTGTGCAAAAGTCACGTTAGATTCCGTCTCTTTACATTCTTGTCTCGTGAAGGATTAGAAAGGAGCTGCACGCATCAGGATTATTATTTCGAGATGCGATAAATAACGTGTTTCTCTTATGAACTATCAATGAAACACGTGTACCAAAAAAAAATAAATAAATAAAATAAAACAAATTGTAAAATTATTCTTAGCACATTTATCTGTGCAATTGAAAAGTGCTTACAAGTTAATGACGGCTACTCATCCGGCTAATATTAGCTTTCCCATGCAACTGATAAGCCGTGCTTAGTTATTGACGGCTGTTTATCCGGCTATTAGCTTTTCCATGTAAATCCTTTTTGTCACGTAGACGCTAAACGTTTAATTAATTAAAGTTTCGGATAAAAGTCGCGACCGAGTTGTGTGATAGGGGACATAATGAGCGGGAAGGGAGCAGCCGCAGGATCAAATCGCCAGGTGTTAGAAAGGAGAAACACAAAATGCATAATTCACCTGCGTGCAAAGTGCATCAGATATTAATGCCGAAGCTGTATAAGCCGCGTGAGCAGGATATCGCAAACCAGTTATTAAAAGCACCTTACGTACGTATGTATGTACATCTTCTCGCTTTTCGATCAAGTCGCCTCGGCGCGGCGCGGATGAAGCGACGTTGGGCTCTTGGCGCGCGTTTTGTTTATTATATCTCGGCAGACATTCGGCGTGAAATATCCGACCCGGTTCAACCCCTGGCGCGCGGCAGGTGTACGCGATGTACATACCGAATATCACACCGGAGAATTACGTCATCGGGGTAACCCGAGGTAACCCGCGCGAAGGACGTTTAACGAATATCCAAGAGCGGTCAAATAAATCGAATAATCTGGGACGAGGTGGTTTATGAGAGCCCTCGGCGGAACGTGCGCGCCACGTTTCTTAAATGCAAATTTCTCTCTCGAATTGCCGTATAATCGATCTATTTCACGAGAGGCTTTATTCCAATAATTAAAAATGCAGACAACACGAAATGTGAATTAAATCATCTTTACTAGCCTCGCATATATCATATGTTTCACATGAGATGTTTTAATCAAAATTTTTATAAAATTTTTTATTAGACCGGATTAAAATTCACTCTGTACATAGAACCGGAGTTTTATATTGTATATAGACATACGGTATATGCCTCTTCGCGTTGTCGTCTCTTTTCACCGTTGTCCAGATGGTATTCAAACAGCACGCAGACAACTATAAATTATCATATGAATTGGTGCATAAATAACTGTGGGAGGACTCGCGTGTGCCTATCTAAACAGGTGAAATTAACGAGTTGGCCAACAGGTAAAATTACTGGCGCAGACTTCCACTTTTACGCGTCGAGTAAAGAAGTGGCTTTTACGTCGTAAAAATAGTTTTCAGCGATCGATAACCGATGCGAACGGTAATTACGGGGATATTACATCGCGCTTGTCGAAAATTGCGCAACGATATTAGGCGCTTCTCGAGGCGGCAGGAGTCGCCGCGCCGGTCGCGAACCGGCCGACCGTATACGCGTGTCGATGTCATCTCAGCCCCGCGACTCGTATTCCCGCACGATTATTACATTACAATAATCGTGAAGGCGTACACGCGAGAAGGGCAAAAAAAAAAAGAAGAGAAATAAAGAGAAAATCTCGGTCGTTGACCCGCGATCGAGCGCGACACGGCTTAATTCGACAAGTTTTGCAACGCGCGGCGCTCT